GAAAGATGGCAATTATGCTTAAGCTTTCTTATGTATGCAAGGCAAAAAGTTAAAGGTAAGCCAAGTAATGTGGTAACACCCCACCTCCGAATGCCAGCGAATCTACACAACAAAAGAATATTGATTGCTGATGTGAAGTCGGCTGTGGGTCGGAGTGAATTTTTGGGGAAATCGTCCTTCAGGTGGGAAGCCGGTGACCAGGCTGAAGGAGTCCCTCCCGTCTGGGCTGCATCGTCGGAGCCTAGGACACAACAGGAGGCAGTGACGGTACTCCTTCCACCACGGATGAACGGCTTTTTAGAAGAGCAGTGGCACATGCCATTTTCACTCACAACACACTGGTCAGACCCCGTCACATGACTGTCACACGACCCACAGGATGGCCAGGAAGATAACCCTCTCCTGCTCTGAAGGTAGTGTGGGCGAGCACTGGAAGTTTCCATCACAAAGCACTATCACTGAAAGAATATAATTGGAGCAACAGGAGAAAATGGAAGAAGAAAAAGGGTCAATCAATCTAAAAGAAGGCAAGAAGAAAAGACAAAAAAGAAATGTAAAATGTGGGCCAAGTAGTCCAGTATAAGGAATTAGAAATAAATAAAAATATATCAGTAATCCCAGTAAACGTTAATAGACTAAACTCAACTGGAATATGTACAGATGGTCGGATGAGATGACTTTTTTAAAACTCCAACTCCATGTCACCTGTAAGACACATGTCTGAAATATAAGAACACACAGCACCTTAAAGTAAAAGGATATAAAAAAAAAACCAGGCAAATATTCATCAAGAGAAAGCTGGTATAGCTAAATTAACATCAGACAAAATAGATTTTAAGACAAAAACCATTATTGGGGAAAGAGAGAGCCAGTATCCAATGATACGTGTTTAGGTCTGAGGATATAAGGAGACAACGTGTACACATCTGAACAACGGCCTTAACTGGGAGAGCAAAGACTGACAGAACTACAAGGAGAAACTCACAGAACTACCGTCACACAGGATTTCAGCACAACTCTCTCAGCGATTCCTAGGTCAAGCAGACAAAATACTAATAAATAAGATTTGGACAGCATAATTAGCTAACTGGATTTAAAGACCTGTCTACACCCCAGATCATCACAATTAGAGACTTCACGTCCTTCTCAAGCACATTTACAAAAACTGTGCATCCACTTGGACGTAAAGCAAGTCTTAACAAATGTTAAAAATCTAGTATTGTATAGACCTTGCTCTCTAAACCGAATGCAATTAAACTATAAATCAATAGCTAAGAAAGAGCTTTCTGAGACACGGGGAAGTCTTAAACCAGATTTCTAAATCATTCATGGGTAAAAGAACAAAATAGTAAAAAATACAAAACACTTAAAACTAAATAATGACAGTGCCACATAGGAAATTTTGTGGGATGCAGCAAAAGCAGAATTCTGCAGAAAATGTGTTCCTTAAACACTTTATATTAGTAAAGAAGAATGGCTGAAAATTAAAGAGTTGAGCATCCAACTTGAGGAAGTAGAAAAATAACAGAAATATACACAGAAAGTAGGAGATGGATGTAATAAAGGTTAAAAACAGAAATAAATGAAAAACAAAATAATAGAGAGAACCCCAAAATATAAAAATTGATTTCTTAAGAAAATAAAATAGCCAAAATTCTGGCAAGATCTCCCAAGGGGGGAAGACAAAGAGGCGCGAGAAAGGGGGACATCACTCCAGACGTAGCAGAGAGTAAAAGATAATAAGAAAGTAAGATAACATTATGACTAACCTTATGTCAATACAACTTGAAACTTTGAACAAAATGGACACATTCCTAGAAAAATATTATTTGCCAAATTTGACTCACAGAGAAACAGAAAGCCTGAATCATTCGATCATCATTAAGGAAACCGAATTTATGATCTTCCCACAAAGAGGTCAAAAATCTAAGAAGCTTTACATGCTCTACCAAGATTAAAAGGAATATTTTATCCCATGTTTACAAACTTCTAAATGTAGGATAATGTGGCTGCACTACCCAGTTTGCTCTGGGACTCACATGGAATCTAAACACAAGGACAAGGTGTGGATTACCCATTGCCAGAGGCGGGGGTGGGGGTGGGTGAAGGGGTCAAAAGGTACAAACTTCCAGTTACACGATAAATACGTCCTAGGGGTGTAATGTACAGCCTGGGGACTACAGTTAACAATACTGTATTGAATATTTGCAAGTTGCTAAGTGAGTAGATCTTAAAAGTTCTGATCACAAGGGGAAAAAAATTGTAACTATGTGAGGTGATGGATGTTAACCAGACTTATTGTGGTGATCATTTTGCAATATACACATATATCAAATCATTATATTGTACAACTTAAACTTATACAATGTTATATGCCAATTATAGCTCACTAAAACTGGGAGGAAATAATAAAACAGCAAAAAAAAAAAAAAAGAAACTTGTAAAGTTACATTTGATTTGGAAATATCCATAGGAACTTCCTTACACAAGATTGGCAGCCAAAAAAATGTAGAAGGAACAATAATATTAGAAACCCAATGGTTCTAAGTCCATTAGGCACGAGGTAACGAGGAACTGGAAATTTGCAAGGCACCACAGTATGCCGCTCAGGCTGCTGGCTGGGGGCAAGGAAGAAAATACAGTTTTAGAACCATCAGGTGTAGCATCACTGATGGCGGGGAAGCTGGAATCCAGTGGGACTCCTTGTACTCCAGTGTACTCTGCACACAGCAGCCCTGGATGACACCCTTCCCTCTGCCTAACAAGCCGTACGTCTCGCTGCCAGGGTCCAGGCGGCACTGCGGAGAGAGGACAGAGACCCCGTGATGGGGAGGGGCGTGGGAAGGTTGTTTTGGGGGAAAAATGATTTAAGAGACACAAAGACCAAACTCAACGTGTGGACCCCGGCTGGATACAATGACAAACCAGCTGTAAAAGACATTTTGGTGACAACTGGGAAAGTTTGAACATTGTTATAGACTGAATGTTTCTGTCCCTCAAAATTGATGTTTTAAATCCTCACCCCCAGGGTGATGGTGTTAGGAAGTGGGGCCTTTGGGAGGTGATTAGGTGATGAGGGTGGAGCCTCACGAATGGGATCAGCGCCCTTATGAAAGGGACCCCCACAGAGCTCCCTCACCCCTTCCGCCCTCTGAGGACACAGTGAGACTGCGCCGTCTGTGAACCGGGAAGCCGGCCCCGCCAGACATTGATTCCACCGGCACCTTGATCTCAGACTCCCACCCCAGAACTTCGATAAATAAACGTGTCGTTTATAATCCGTCCACTCTATGGTATTCTGTTATAGCAGCCCAAACAGACTAAGACAAACATGAAATATGAATTTGATAAAATTAAGGAATTATTGATTCTGTCAGGGGTGATAATTGTGTTGTGATTTTGTAGGAAATTTATTTATTTAGAAATGCATACTCAAGTATTTAAAGTGAGGTGTCATCCATGTCCTCCTTCATTTTGGAATTTCTTAGTGAAAACAACAAGGAAGCAGATACGACAAATGTTTACAACTGTGAAATCTGAGCGGGGAGCCTGTAGTCGTTCATCACGCTCTCCTCTCCGCTCTCTGCATGTCTGAGATTTTTTAAAAATGAAAAGGATAAATGAGGCAGCAAAGAGAGAAGCTGTTGCCACACATAAAACTGACAATTCAGAAAATATAAGTAAACTCTCCAAATCCATAAGAAAAAGTCAACAACTCAATATAAAAATTGGCAAAAGACAGAAACGGGACTTCCTGGAAGAGGGGTCCCACGTGACCGCAGACAGATGAGGACCCGCAGCCTCCTTCACAACCAGGGAAGTGCACGCCGAGCCATTTCGGACACTGCTCACACCCACCCGCCGGACACACTGAAAAAGCCTGACACCGACGCGTGATGGGGAGGATGCCGAATAGTGGGAACCCTGAACTCTGAGAGGACAACCTGGCGTTATCCTGGAAAGTGAAGACGTGCGTACCTGTCACCGAAAAAAACTGGGCAGCCACACTCAGGCATCCAGCGACCCAGCCAGGGAGCTGAGGCCGCCCCGCTGTGGCCTGGACATGAGGACTGACCCCCAGGCTAGGCTGCGGCAGAGGGTCCAGGAAGAGAGTGGAGGGATCTGGGAGTCTTCCCCATTCACTTCCTGGCCCGCCCACATCGGCCCTGGGACTCCCTCCTGCCCTCCGGAACTGCTACCCACGTGAGGGGCCTCCTTTTCTGGCGGTCACCTTACGGTCAGCACCCTGGACAGGTCCCCCTGTAGCCCAGGACCCGCGCAGGACCTCACAAGCGGGAGCTGGGGCAGACACCCAGACCTCACTCTAAGTGAGGGCTATTCTAAAGGTCCCTGTCTGCGAGGCAACAGGGTCCTGCATTCAGGGAGCCCCAGTCAGAGCCGAGAGGAGGAGGCAGAGCCCCTTGCTGAGAACCAGGGCCGGACACTGGCAACCTAGAGCCAGGCCTGCGTTTTCAGACAGACTGATGAGTGGCCCCACCTACATTCTCGCGATGGAGGTCCTAGCTTCCTCTATTTCTCAGCCTCCCTTGCAGCTAGATGCGACCATGTGACCAAGTTCTAAATCATGAGGCATAAGTGAAAGTGCCCTGTGGGACTTCCAGGATATCTCCTCTGGGATGCTCCTTGTGCTCTACTAGGAACACAGAGGTGGTGGCTGAGCTCCAGCAGCAACTATGGGGCCATGAGGCTGCTGGTCAACCCTAGGGATTGGGAGCTGAGAGCTGGAAGGACCTGGCTCCCAATTGCTACAGAGCCAACACTATCTCTAGCCCATCAGCCCCTCACCCTGGTTAGTGTGAGAGAGAAATAAACAACCTTGCTTATGCCATGGTTCCCTGGGTCCCTGTGGCTGGCATCAACCCTGATGCACAGGCCTGTGAGTGTGGAGTGCTTCCTCCTTGGGAGGTGGAGGGGTGGGTGGGGGAAGGGATTTTCTCTGGAGGTGGAAGTTCTCAGCCCCTCCCAGCTCCAGATGTCTGTGGGGGTGTGGAGGGAGGTACTCAGGACTAAGAGGAAGTGGCCAGAAGGGGAAGCAGCGGGCTGCAGAGAGGAGGCAGGTGGGTGGGGTGGAGGCTGTCGCTGGAACCCACCCAGAGAGGTGAGGGCCTGCAGTCTGTGTCTGGAGCCAAGATGAAGGCCAAGGCAGGACCCCCAGAGGTAAGTGCCCACGAGTCCACGACCAGGTGGGAGAGCCCCTGGGAAGGAGGCTGCGGTCCTCCTCCCCGTGGCCCTATGCTGCCACAACCCTGGGCCCAGAGGGTCGCAAAGCCTCCAGCTGGGCCTGCAGACAGCCCGTTCTTCCCCCAACTCATGCAGCCAGGACCACCAGGGCCTCAGGGTCTCCCAGCGTTGACAGCAGGCCCCCTGCCCCAGCCTGGGATGGCAGCTACACTCACGCCCTGCAGGGCAGGAAGTTGGCACCTTCAGCCTAGACCTCTGATGTCTGCAGGGTCCCACAGCTGCCCACTACCAGGTTGGAGGGGCATGGAGCTGCCCCCATCCTCTCCCAACAGCTGGCCCCAGAGACACAGGGGGGTCCCCAGGGCTGCAGCGAGTGAATAGGTCTGCAGGTGCCCAGAGCCACCCTGGGTGGCCACCTCCCCGGGTCCCAGTGTGGTTCCCAATGGCTGAGAGGAGGAGATGACGCATTCTGGGGATGGGTGGCCTGGGAAGTGCCTCGGAGGGGCTCCAAGTCCCAGATGGGGGCGTGAGGGGCAGGGCTGCTGCACTCCGACCTGCCTGCCTGCCGGGGCATTTGGGGGACAGAGACCCTTTTCCCATGTGGTGCAGCGCGGGGAGCAGCCCATCCAAAGAAGTCCTGGTGCCCCCTTCGCCCGGCCTCCAGCCCAGGACTCCACAATGGTTGCCCCTCCTGAGACTTGATGAAGGGGGTCTCGTGAGCCTGTTCACTATGAAGCCCTGACACAGGACCCCGACTCCTCCTTGAGGGGGCCAGGCCCCTGAGCTCGGCTCTGCCAGGTGGACAGGGCAGCTCCCTGAGGCGCCGAGCTCCCCTCTGTGGGGTGGAGGTTGTGGAGCATCCTCCGGGGCCCGAGCTCAGCTCTGGGGTGGAGAGGCCCCTGACTCCCCTCTGTGGGGACTCCCCTGCTGGAAGGGCTACTGGGCCTCGGGGACCCTGCCTGGGCCCCCTCTCTCATTCTGGTTTCCGGGGTCCGCACCACCCTGTAAGGTTCTGGCTCAGGGCAGACACAGCCCCCAGGCCCACCTCCTGTGGCTGCCTCCTCCCCACGCTGAGGCAGGCAGGGGGTCCCTTGGGAGGACAGCCCCGGAACGGACCCCAGAGGTCTAGACCAAGCTGGCTGCTCCTGGTCTGACCCCCAAGGCCCTCGGGGCCTGTGCTGACAGCCTGGCTTCCTGGGCCCCGGTGCCTGGCCTTGGTGCACACAAAGGCACGTGGCATGGCTCCAGGCCCCCTTCCCCACCTAGGCTGGGAGGAAGGGCTGCTCCTGCCCCTCGTGGACGTCTCAGAGATTGGCTGACCAGGGTGACCCAGTCGCTGCGCATAGGCCCTTCCCTGCACCCCAGGGAGGGCACAGTGAACTTGGAAGCACCCCACTCATGGTGGCATTTGAGGTCACTTTGGGGAGGGGCCCGACTCCAGTGGGGGCCCAGCAGGCCTGGCTTCTGGCTCTTTGTGGGAATGATGGCTCTGACAGGACAGGACAAGTCCTCCATCCCCAGCTGGCTGCAGAGGGAGAGACCCCGACAGCAACACAAGATCCCGACTCAGCCCACGCTGGCCCTCTCTGGTCTCTCCGTGCCGCACCTTCCCAACCAGGACAAGGGCTGCTGCCCGGCTCCCAGGAGGGGGCTGCCGTGGGGCCAGGACACGGGCCCAGCCCAGGGAAGGGAAGTGCTATTTATAGGCCTGTGTTGTGGGGGCCAAGAGTGAAAGCAGAAACGCTCAGACTCCCTGCTATTGTGGTTGAAACGAGGAACTGAGATTCTGACACCCAGACACCTACAGAGAGGGGAAAACACAGCCTGACATGAGTCCCGGCACAGAGTGGGCCACACGTGCACACACATTCACACACAGTACATGCACACACGTGCACACATAAGCCCATGCACGCACACACATGTGCAAACAAGTGCGCACATGTGCACACGTACATGCACACGCATGCGTGCACACGCATGCACATACATGCGCATGCACACATACGCACGCACAGATGGACATACACACGTACACACACGCACGTTGAAGGTGAGGGGCTGTACCAGCTCCAAGGTCCACCACCCGCAGCCCGGGCCACCTGGGTGAGGGCAACAGAGTGGAGCCCAGTGGCCAGCCTCACACGAGGGCACAACCTCGGCCGGAGTGGGGAGGCCTCCGGGGTTTGAGCAGCTGTCTGTAGACCCCACAAATGGGCTCTGTGGGGCCACTCTGGGCGGGTCTGTGGGTGACACCAGGTCACCCTGTGCAGGTGCTGAGACCTCTGCAGAAAGCATCGGTGGCCTCTGCATGGCCTTGCACCACGCCATCGCATAGCCCACAGGACAGGGACGCCAGCACGGTAGGACTGGGGGGCCCATGAGAGAGGGCTCAGCAGCCTCACAGGGCCCCTGGGCCAGAGCCACAGGACAAAACCGGCCACGGGGGACCAGGGGACCCCGACCTATGGGCTGCTCAGCACCTGCCCACATGCCTCTGTCTCGGGGGGACCTGGGAACACAGCCCATTACCACGTGGCCACAGTGGGCCCCAGGCCCCCGACCCCAGCACAGCGGGCTTGGGCCCTGCTCGGCGCCACCCTCCTCTCCCCTTGCTCGCCCCGGCCCCACCCCAGCTGCAGACTGGCCCTCCCTAGGAGCCGGGGACAGTCTCTGTCCAGCACTGGAGGGCCCTCATGGCCCACCCGGAAGTGGAGCAGGCCCACACCCCCAGGGACCCCAAGGGGATACCCTTCTCTAGTTGCAGGTGCTGGCAGTGCTGGCCCTGCTGTGGCTCGGCGCTGCAACTCTCACCTACCTCCTGTGGCCAGCGTCCTCTCTGCCCACCTGGGGCCAGGTGCACCCCGAGGAAGGGCCCACCAGATCCCGGGGCTGTGGCTCCCGCCCGCCCTGGGAGGCCCGGCGGCGGCGGCCATGGGAGAAGGACTCATGCCAGTGAGTGAGGGGTCTGCTCCTGGGGTCTACAGGGCAGCGGGTGGGTCTCCTACCATCGGGTCTCCCCAGTGGGATAAGCACTGCCGTCCGCCAGCTCCTCCTGGAAGATGCTGGTTTCCAGGAGGATGGGCAGTGAGACAGGAGAGCTGGTGGGGGGATGGGGAGAGGCCTTGGACGGCATGGGCTGGAGTGGGGGTGGGGAAGGGGCGGACTTGGGGTGCTCTTTGCAGCAAACACAGACTGCCACCTGGGGGCTTCGAGAAGGCCGGTGAACCCAGTCCTCCCTGGGCCAAGGTGGGCACCTTCATAGCCCTTCCTCCCCCGGGGATGGGGCTGCTGCTCCCACCTGCGCCGCAGCCTCCCTCCAGGCCTCTGTGCCCTGCTCTGTGAGTCCTGGAACGGAGAGCCTCCCCAGGGAAGAACCCGCCCTGCACACGCCCCAGGATGGGCGCTCCCCGCCTTCCCTCTGGGTCAGCTCTGGCTGCCCCCAGGGCCTCCACACCAGCAGGCAGCCCAGCCTGCAGGGGCAACAGCTCCTCAAGGGCAGCACCCGGAATTAGGGTGGGGCCTGGGCCCCCAGTCGGCCTGCTCTCAGGCCCCTCTCTGGTCGCTCCTGGGTGTCACCCCCAGCGGACTTGCTGGGCTCAGCCTGCCCTGCCCCTCTGGTTTGCTGCCCCCTCCCTGAACCCGTGGCCTGGGCTCTCTCGGGGCCACGTGGGCAGCAAGGATGGAGCAGGTGCTGTGATGCAGGCTAGCGGCTCCTACACTCACGCTCTGGCCCCCCTTACTGCCTCCGCAGGCTTGTCCTCGTGGAAAGCATCCCCCAGGACCTGCCGTCTGCAGCCGGCAGCCCAGCAGCCCAGCCCCTGGCCCAGGCCTGGCTGCAGCTACTGGACGCTGCCCAGGAACGCGTCCATGTGGCCTCCTACTACTGGTCCCTCACAGGGCCTGACATCGGGGTCAACGACTCGTCTTCCCAGCTGGTGCGCCCCAGCCCCTCCCCTGACTCTGAGGCTGCAGGCCAGCCCAGTGCTGGGCACACAGCAAGTCAGGCCACACATCTGTCTGACTCCAAGCTGTGGGCAGTCAGGGGTGGCCTCCTGGGGAAGGTCTGGGTCCTTCCTAGTGGGAGGGGGCAGAGGGTCAGCCTGGGGGTCATCACTCACCGCTGGCCTGGCCCTGCAGGGAGAGGCCCTTCTGCAGAAGCTGCAGCAGCTGCTGGACAGAAACATTTCCCTGGCTGTGGCCACCAGCAGCCCGACACTGGCCAAGAATTCCACCGACCTGCAGGTCCTGGCAGCCCGAGGTAGAAGCCTGCCCGTCCTAGGCCCTGCTGCCCTGGGGCAAGTGTAGGCTGACCTGCTGGTGCCATGGGACAGGGACAAGGACAGAGGAGCTGCCTGGGGGGGAGGCCGGGAAAGGCGCCCTGTGCTTTCTTTCCCTGGACTCTGGGAGACCAGGAGCCCAGGGCTGCGAGCTCCTTCACGTTGGCTTCACCCGGGGCTGGGGCTGGTTCCAAGGAGCCAGAAGTGTCATTTTCCACAGGCAGAGCATAGCGTGGCCTCGGGGCCCTGCTGAGCCCAGCCGCCTTGACCGCTGGGTGGAGACTCAGCTGGGAGCAAGAGGCAGTGGGCACAATCCTGACAAATGCAGGCTCCTGAGCTGGGCTGCCCGGGGGGATCTGGGGCCATCCATGGCTCCGTTTTCCCACCTGTGAGATGGGGACGATAATAGCATCAGCTTAGTAGGACCGTGAGGAAAAATGAGTCAGCCCGCCGCAAAGAGCTGAGAGCTAGGCTCGCCACGATGTTATCCACCCTGTCGTCCTGAACCCCGGCCAGGTGCCCAGGTGCGACACGTGCCCATGTGGCAGCTCACCGGGGGCGTTCTGCACTCCAAGTTCTGGGTCGTGGATGGGCGGCACGTCTACTTGGGCAGTGCCAACATGGACTGGAGGTCACTGACACAGGTGAGTCCCAGAGCCCAGAGAGCGGCTCGTCCATTCCCCGGGCTTCACCTGACCTCCCACGCAGCCAGGCACCCAACGGAACCCTGGGTGGTGCAGCCACGTCTGTAACATCACCAGAGTGGAGATAGTCGGAGGCTGGCCAATAGGTTACGTAACTCTACAGGGCCATGAACTCACGCTGTGGAACATCGTTTAACCACGTGGAATGATGTTCGACTCACTTTATCCAGGGAAACCTACAGACTGCAGAGCATGATCCCTTTTAGGAAAAAGCAATGCATTAAAAACCATCAAAGAGTGATGGTGGGAAAATGGCAGCAGTGGTGGTCCCTTGACAGTGAAGGGAAGAATGACTTTTCTTCTTTGTGCTTTTGTGCATTTTCTATTTTTTTTGTAATAAAAATGTACTGACTTGATCGTTGGAATACAATGGTCAAGGAAAATGGGGACCCACTGGGCACCTCCCTGTAGCTCCCCCAGCACACTACCCACAGGGACTGGCCACCAGTGGGGGCTGTGCCCTGCCTGCATCCCTGGCCGGAGTGGGCCCTCCAAGCCCCATAGGGGCCTCCTCTGGCAGCGCTGCCCCCTCCCTGCAGGTGAAGGAGCTCGGCACCATCATCTACAACTGCAGCCGCCTGGCCAGAGACCTGGAGAAGACCTTCCAGACCTACTGGGTGCTGGGGGCGCCGAAGGCCGTGCTCCCCAAATCCTGGCCACGGAACTTCTCGTCCCACATCAACCGCTTCCGGCCCCTCCGGGAGCACTTCGACGGGGTGCCCACCACCGCCTACTTCTCGGTAAGAGGGGCGGAGGAGGCCCGGCACAGCCCGCTGCTCTTCTGGCTGGCCAGATCCACAGGGAACCCTACTCCACCTGGGCTTGCCCTGCAGACAGCACAGGCCTGCAACCCCCCTGGGGCACCGGCTCCAGGAGCCCGTGCCATGGACCGGGCCATGATCCCGGGGCGAGGGGCAGGCTGGCGTCGGCAGCCCAGCTCCAGGAGAGGGTGCCGGTCTTTGTCATCCACGAGAGACAGGCGGCCTGGGGGGTGGCAGGGTGTCCTGTGGCCTTGGGGGGTCTCCAAGCACACTGCTGGGTGGGGTCAAGTGGCTCCAGCTGGGGACCAGGGAGGGTGGGGTAGGACCAGTTCATCAAGCGATTTTGTTACTCTGCGGGGAAGGATGGAAGACGAGGGGCGGGCTGGTCAAGCTGACAGCAGACGCCCCTCCATCGGGGAGGCAGGAGCGGGCAGGCCCCCAGCTGCCCAGTGGCTGGTCTACAGCGGAGCTCTAGCGTCAGAGCCAGGGATGCCTCCCTAGACGTGGGGGCCCGCCCTGAGCAGGTGCAGAAGCCTTCTCCACACAGAGAGCTGTCTTTGTCCGGGAAGTCAGGCCAGCCCGAAGCCCAGGGAGGGCCAGCTGCATCCCCGCTCTCCCCACCCCGACTCGGGGCCAGCCCGAGGTCCCTGTTCAGTCCCTCCTTCTCCTTGCCCCCACCTCTCCAGCAGCACCTCTCATCCTCCTCCTGATTTCCATCACCGGAGGGTGGGTGCACGGTGGGCTCATAGGGCCAGGAACCCAGTGGCTCAGAAGGGGCAGCAGTGCCCTCAGGGACCTCTCTCCCCTCACAGGCATCCCCGCCCTCCCTCTGCCCCCACGGCCGCACCCGGGACCTGGATGCACTGCTGGCGGTGATAGGGGCAGCCCGCGAGTTCATCTACGCCTCGGTGATGGAGTACTTCCCCACCACACGCTTCAGACACCCCGCCAGGTGGGTCTGGGTGGGAGCCAGGCGGCCCTGGACGCGTAGGCCTGCTCTGCTGGTGGGCAGCTCCCGGTGCAGTCCCCCTCCTGCCAGGACCCTGCTCACCCAGGGCTCGCAGGCAGGGCCCAGTTGGCCGAGGACCCTGACCCTCCCCTCCTCCAGGTACTGGCCAGCGCTGGACACCGCGCTGCGGGCGGCAGCCTTCAACAGGGGCGTGCAAGTGCGCCTGCTGGTCAGCTGTTGGGTCAACACAGACCCCCACATGTTCCCTTTCTTGCGGTCCCTGCAGGCCCTCAACAACCCGCAAGGTGTCTCAGTGGACGTGGTGAGGACCCGCTCCCTGGGCCGGGCCGGGCCGGGCCGGGCCGGGGAAGGTGGCCTCCTCCCCTCCCGGACACGCTCCCTCTCTGTTCCCCAAAGAAAGTCTTCATCGTGCCCGTGAGGAACCACTCCAACATCCCGTTCAGCAGGGTGAACCACAGCAAGTTCATGGTCACGGAGAAGGCGGCCTACATAGGTGAGCAGCTGGGGGTCTGCTGGCCGTGGGCTCCAGCCTGGGCAGCTCAGGACCCCTGAGTCTTTGAGGGGTGCCAAGTGAGTAGATGTGACACAGAGGCCACACCACCTGCAGAAGGGGGATATGTCCCTAGGCAGTGGCCAGGCCAGGGTGCAGAAGGGGGCACTAAACTTAGTCCCCCATGACCCCTCTGGACAGAGGGGCTGCTGACGAAGGTCAGGGTCTCCAGCGGAGTTCTGAGGACCAGGCTACCAGCCAGCTGTCACCTGGCTCCACGGGGACAGGTGGGCAGGCCCAAGTCAGGACACGTGTCCCAGGGCGAAGTGGGTGGAGTTCCACACGTGAAGAGCTGGCCGGCCGGCCCTCCCGCACCTGAGGGGCTGCCGCAGCTGGAGTGTGATGACAGCAGAGGGGCCGGTGCCCCCGGGGCACCAAAGCTGTGGCTGGGGCCACAGGTCGGGGCCAGGCTGCAGAGGGGCCCAGGGGAGCCCAGTCACCCAGTGTCTCTTTCCTGCCCCCCCAAGGCACCTCCAACTGGTCAGAAGATTACTTCAGCAGCACCTCGGGCGTGGGCCTGGTGGTCAGCCAGAGGCCCTTGAGCACCCAGTGGGGGGTGATCACCGTCCAGGAGCAGCTGCAGCGACTGTTTGAGAGAGACTGGAACTCCCCCTACGCCATACGCCTGGATGGACACGCCCAGGGCCAGAACTGTACGTGGCAGGGCTGAGGTCCAGCGCTTCCTGGCTCCGGGCCCCACAGCTCTTCGTGGACCCTGCTCCCCACCAGGCCTCCCTGTCTGTCCCCCAGCCTGGACTCCAAGCAGCTCCATCCGCCCAAGCCCTGGTCAGGGTCAGGACTCCCAACGGCCGGTGGTGGCAAACTGTTTGCCCTCCCTCTGCTCTCCCAATCCTGCCCCTCTTAAACCCCCACTTCCTCCAGGGAGCCCTCCAGGACGCCCCTCCCTGACTCCTGCAGAGCCGCAATCCTGGCCCACAAGTGGGGCCTTTGGAATATGTGTGTACCTCCCCTCTCTCTGTGTGGCTCCAGCACCTGGCTGTGCCCTCTTCTCCTCTGCCCCAGGCTGGAGTTCAGTCCCCCAGAGCCTGCGAGGGGCCTGTGGCCACCTGGTGAGGCTGGGCTGTAGGAGCCACTGAGTTGCCAGTGCCCAATCCGGTATGCCCAGGAACCGGGTGACTGGGACCGGGCAGGAGACGGGTGGAGTGAGAGAGGGCCCAGCACTGCGGGGATGAGGGCTGGAGTGGGGCCCAGGACTGTGGGATGGGGCAGGTGCCTGTAGGGGGGCCCAGGACTGTGGGGGGTTAGGCTGGTGCCTGTGGGGGGGGTGTGGCCAAGACTG